AGAACTTCCTCCTTTTTGAAGTCGGTTAACAAAAGAGGAGTCTCAGTTCGCGCGTTTTTCGTTGCGTTATTCTCGTCCAAAAACAGTATAACTTCAAAAACAATTTATAAAAGCGAATAAAGTTGTGTTGTGTTATGGTGTCAATGATCTCAAACTTAGAATTTGAAAAGGCATTGGCATCAAATAAAAGAGATAAACATATAAAGGCATTGACCGATACAAAAGGGATTTTTGCATTTCTTTGTTTCTTTACGGTTGTTTCCCGCTACATACTCGTAAGTGCCGTTTTTTTCCTTTTTGGCGACATTTAAACGGCATTCTGAATATCGCACATGTTTACTTAAAGGTTATCGTCAAAGTTGTGATGAGTTTTTATTAACAAAATTTTCCTTTCTTGGCCTATTACTTACAATAAAATTTTACTTAGGAAAGAAGACATACGATTGCCGCGAAACCATGGGCCATCAGATTTACACCAAAATTGCTAATTTAGTTTTTAAAATCATCTCATCAATTTTTTAACTACTTACCGCAAAAAGTTTGTATGAAATTAAAACAAACGATAATTTCTAGTATCAAGAATATTTCGTAATTCGGTGTCCTGTAGGGATCATCGTTGGGTAGCCACATTGGGAAAGGAAGTGGGCGTACTGTGTGCTCGTCTTGTGTCACGAACAAGCTCTGATACATGAGCGCGAGCAAGCACGTCACCACGAACAAGCTCGCCACCGAGGTCGTGAATATGAACCACGCGTAACATAGTTGCCAAATCAATAGCTGACCTTGGAGGAAGAGAGATCTGAAAAAAAACTTTTAATATCCAACGTAGGTGACTGACAACTTAATAATTTCCGCATTACTATTTTTAATTAGTGGACTGAAAAGCTAATAATTTCGACATAAGTATGTGTACTTTGCTAATAAAAAAGTTTTTGAAATACATATAACATTAGTAAGGTAATGTAAACTGCTTAATGACCTTTCCAGACAACGATATGTTACCGTAAATACAGGTTTGTGTACTGTTAATTAAAAGACATTTTATCCTTTGTCTCGGATATTGAATCTTGTGCGAATAATTATATTTCTTTTCCTTTATTTACATGAATACACGGAAGGTTCGCATTATCTATACATCTGTTTATATAAATAAAATTGGAGTGTATGTTTGTAATATTGAAAGAACTGTTTTTTGCTAAATATATATGAATAAACGGTACATACACCATAATATTTTTTTTTTATCATTTTTGTCTGTCTGTCTGTTCGTACTGACTAATCTCTGAAATGGATGGACCGTTTTTGACGGGACTTTTATTGGCAGATAGCTGATGTAATTAGGAGTAATTTAGGCTACGTGTATTTTAGAAAAAATATTTTTATTTTATAAAAATAAGATAAACAAAGACAGTATTTCACGCGAACGAAGTCGCGGGCGTACTTGTTAATAAGAAGGCTCAGTTTCCAGAGACAGAGGAAGGTGTAGACGGACTAAATATTTTTTTTACTCTTGTAATGATTGAGATATACTTAAATGATAAAGGCGCTAAATGTTAATTGACTACGCCATGTTAAGTGTATTCTGCAGTTTCTTAATAAAAATACACTTTGACTTGTTTTATGTTTACTTAAAGACGTTGTCCTCATTGAAATAAAGGCACAAAATGATAAACAAGCCTTATTATAAAATAAAAATAAATAAAATAACATTTGATCCTTTCACTTTTACAATATAATTAACAAAAATAATTATAAAGACATAATAACATAACAATTAATAAGAAAAAACACTATATCTTATCTTACTAATATAAATGCGAATGTATAGATGGAGGGATGTTTGTATTACGAGAGTACGCATACTCTAATATTTAGGATTGATGGATGAACTCAACCGTTCAGGAGGTTCTAACGATCTCGAGAATCTCGGCGAAATTTGTTATAGACATAGAGTCTGGAAGAACACATGCGTATGATCCCAGAAAAATCGGTATGTAAATGTAAACGGTTACCTTGGGATACGTTTGATTTATATATTTACTCGATATATACGCAACTTTGACAAGAACTCATATAGAACATAGTCACGAGTAGGTAAAACGCATAGTAAGATTAATACATATTTTTAAACTTTTATCTCTTTGACGAAAAAATAACGACAATGTGAGTTAATTTGATACTGGCGAAATACACAGCTATTTGCATTAAAATAATATTGATAAACTTATAATAATGCCGTCATTTTAGTTCAACTATCTCGTTAAATTCTGATTAAATTATTGTTATGAAAACAATTACTGTTATATAATATCACCGACAATATTTCACATTTACGCGACCTAATTGCATCAAGTTTTATTTTGATAATATTGCAATAACATAACTTTTTAATAATATTCATAAGAAACGGGATTTTTACGACTGAGCTCTTTGAACTCACGATATTTTGGCATACTTGCATGCGGCCATGATTACAGGTTGACACATCAGATCACACACACAACTCAATAGTAAAAACCATGAAAGTTTAAAGTTATATAACCGGCCGCGAATCCGTCCACACCGAATCAAAAAAAAAATCTTAATAAGTAGCCAATGTGGTTTTTCATACTATGTCTTACATCTATGCCAAGTTTCAGCGAGATCCGTTCAGTCGTTTTGGGGATAGGTACCTTCAAACAAACATCCATCCACCTAAACATTCGCATTTATAATATTAGTAAGATTTTTTAGCAAACTTACTTATATCTGGGTTCCATAGTCCGTACGTATATAAAATCTCTGTCCAAACATTCCAAAAGCTTCATTACTTTTGATTTGTTAAGTAATACGCTAATATTTACGATAGGTATTGAACTGATGATGATGAAATAACAAAGGGATTCAGTAGCGAACGCGTAGTCCTTTATTGCTATGCCATGCTTCATAAAAATAATTTCAAATGTCAAAGCCATTATTGTGAGAGAATTATAAATGAAAGGCCAGATAAATCTGAAAAAAAAAACAACCGAAACTTATTAGAAAGTTTTTATTTCGATAATCAAAACAGATATATTATAAAAAAAAACATGTTAATTATATTTAAATATATGTCAATATTTGGTGATTTTGGACGTATCGCAATTTTGTGAAATTAATTTACACATTCTAGTAATAATTTTACTCAAATGAAAAAAGAGATATGTTTGTGATACTAAATCTGCATTATTTTTTTTTATTGAATTTGTCATAGTTACCTTAGTTTGGAATCTGTGTTGTTAAAGAAAATACCATTAATAGCGAGAAAAAATTTAAGTTGCGGATGAAATTTATATAGGTCTATAGATGGATCATCAAAATCAAAATTACGACGAGTAAAAAAATTATTTAAAGATTGTAAAGACCACATTTTAAACACGTCGTAGCCCCAGGACAAATATAAGAAAAACAATTGATAATTCGATCGACAATAAGTATGAACTTTTTTAACTATAAAAAAGGGTCTTGACAGACAGACGGACGGACAACAAAGTGTTCCTATAAGGGTTCCGTTTTTGCCTATAAGATACGGAACCCTAAAAATATGTTTGTACTGTGTATTTTGAAAATATAATAATTAGTACAAAAACCATTAAATATCTCTTTTACTTATAATTTTATTTTATAGCTACATGTCTTTATTATTCTAAAGAAAATAGGAACGTCTTTGATTTTTTTTTGTAGTTTTTATCAAGTAGGTCTGGCGAAAAAACCTAGTTAAAGAAAAAATATCATTCATTAAGTAATTACGAACAGTAATTGACTACCAATCACTTAAAATATAGTTCTTATGATAATTAGTGTACCTAATATGCAGTTGTAGGATTATTAATGAACTTAATTATCTAATTCCACTGGTTTTTGCATGAATTATATAAAAAAAGAACATCATTTATAATTCAAATTAAAATTCAACTAATCATTGGTTTTTGAGACCATAATCTCTTTATAAAACATATCTTCATCCTTGTCATCTTTGACAATACAGATAACAATATGTTTTAAACTGGAACTTTCATTTCATAAACCCACGATAAATCCCTTTGTAAAAATTAGAAATTAAAAAAAAAAAAAACTTTTTTTTTCATGGAGGTGACAGTACAAGAAATAAGCTCATTATAAATAAGAGAATTCAAAGAGGGTACGCTGCCAGTATCTTCGGAACCTTACCTAAAGGGACTCCTTTTAATAATATATTTTAGTTAATTATTCGTTTATAATATTTTATTTAATATCCTAGATTTAAAACTTATGTATAAATTCAGTTTAAAATGTAATAAGAGAATGTTTCAACAGTGCGAACCCAAGATTAGACACCAATAATTATCGCGTTTTTTTATATTTAGAAACATTACATAACTCCAAGAACGTTCAATTAACAGAATATACTACTTTATAAGAGTAGAATATAATACAGGCCAATAACCGCAATAGAGACCGTGTTCTTACGCTGGGTTTACATTGTCAAAATATCTGTACAAAAAAATATAATTCATCTCTGTTTTTTAAAGGTTAAATAGGATGGAAATATATGCAATAAAACCTCATATTTATAGTTATTATCAAACTTGTTAGTCAAATAATCCTTCATAATATTTATCAATACTTAAAAATAATATTTAGGTTTGAATCATAAACCGATATCTTAAAAATATTAATAAAAAATTGAAAAAAAAGCGCTCAGATTCGTGTAATTAAATTAATTAGTAAATTATGTCGTGTAAAGTTGGATTTTTACTATCGTCCCACAGATAAAACATAATATTGTCATCTCACACAGTCTTTTAATAATATAGAGGAGAAAAAGTTTTAAAGTGTCGAATTTAATAGAAATAGATTTGGTAACGTTAATTACTAATCATTACTTTTTATTAATTAACGTTACCAAATCTATTACAAACAAAAAGTTTAATTATAATGTTTTACAAAGATAAGTCCAATGTAAACTGGTCAACATAATATTATTCTCATTATAACAAAACTATTGATAACGCTACGACAGACCTACAGAAATATATCTCAGTTACAATAAAATGAATCTGACGACGTAATTATTTGCTACTAGTTTGTTGTAAGCACTTCGCTGTGCAGCACTTCGGTCAAGATGATCGGAGTAATTGTTCTTATTATATTATTAGGTGTCGCAGCTGTGAATCTCTACAAAAATGCTTATAAAAAACCAACTAATTTCCCGCCAGGTAAGAATTTTTATAATATAATACTTTAGATCTTCTAAAAATCTTAAAAATTTGTAATAAGAACGAAGAATATTTTTATTATGTTTATCCCAAATACCTTTCTAAATCATTGGATAGATTTTGATGAAACTTTGATACCTTGCTTTGAAGATGTCAGAGAAGCCTTTATACTCTATAAAACTGAAATATCGCTTGCTCTATGCCACAATATAATATCTTTTTCCAAGTTTAAAATTTTCCAACTTCAAATTTTTTTACCTCAATGAAGTTCTACAAATTATTGTGAAGATTTTGGCCATCTCTTCAGAGATGAAGATGAGAGAATCTTCAGATTTAAACCTAAAATGACATTCGCCTTACTTAATCTATATATATAAAAGAAAGTTATGTTAGTTACACTATTTATAACTCAAGAACGGCTTTACCGATATGGCTGAAAATTGGTGAGGAGGTAGCTTAGAGCCCGGAGACAGACATAGAATACTATTTATTCGTTTTTTTTCGAATTTTTGCCTTGAAGAGCTGCTTTTTATTTAACTTACTAATATTATAAATGCGAATATTTAGATGGATAGATAGGTGTTTGAAGATATCTCTAGAACGGCTGAACGGGTCTCGATTAAATTAGGCATACGTATAGAACATAGTCTGAAAGAACACATAGGCTTCACTAATTAAGTTTTTTTATATATCCACGCGGACGGAGTCGCGGGCGACAGCTAATTTGAAAAATATCAGCAAGAATTTCTTGTGATTTTCAAACAAAATATATGAAAATTGAATAAAAATGAATAAAAGGCAAAATTACTAATGATTTTATTAAAATCACAAATATTACATAATGTCTATGGCCGTGGGTTTTAAATGAAAATTCTTGACTAGTAGAATACCTTGGTTATTATAAAATGAAAAGTATACAGACAAAAAAAAGATAAAAAAAATTGTTGGTGTTTACCTAATTAAAAATAGATTTAAAACTTTATCGTTCCCAAATATTTTATCGATAACTTAAGGTCAAACGGCATTTCTTATATAAATATACGCTGGCAAAATACAATAAGAATTCTTTTTTTATTATCAGTTATCTATGTCGTAGGTCGAATAAGATTTGTGATGTTATTGTACCGACACGTGACTTCAAACGAGACTTGCTCTGCAAACGATAGCATGTAACGCGACATGATACGACCAGTATCATCATCACGTGGCCTGCGTCAATCCACAGCTGGTCATAGGCTGTCCCGTATCATCATCATTAACATGCCCTTATCCCTAGGTCGGTACAGGATGTACTACTCCTTCCTACATCTCTATCAGCCGTCATATGAGTCGAAATGTGTTACGGTCTAATTTTTCTTTTACGGTCGAATTTCCAACGTTAAGGAAATAAAGTCAAGGTTTAGGTAGTAGATGTTGAAAATAATTTTATTTTACAACTTATTACTAGAATTTTTAACTATATGTGTACTTTAACTTTTTTAGGGCCGCCCAGCCTGCCGGTATACGGCGCGTACTGGTTGGTTTTAGCAAAGGCATACAACAATTTGGCCGCCGCGTGCATTAAATATTCCAATGAGTACAAGTCTAAGGTGATCGGAATGTTGCTTGGAGCGTTCCCGGTGGTTGTCGTCAACGATCCTTATTTACTCAAAGAAGTACTTAATCGCGAGGAATTCGATGGACGAACTGACATCATACTTGGCAGACTGAGATCTTATTGGAAAAAGCTTGGTAAGCGTTTTAATTCTGGTTTGTACACTAATTGTAACAAAAAGTCACTCCAAACGGACACATCTTAATGAGAAAAAGTTTGTCTAGAGCGAAACGTCTTATACGTATCTTGTCATTGATTTCTTACGTTTGCTTTTTTATATTATAGGTTAGCATTGATCATGATGATTTGGCTTTATATTGTCTTTTCCCTGTCTTGTCTTAGCTAGAGTACATTGATGAACAAGGTGAACCTCGGTTGGATTAAACGATTGTTTTTATGCAATTATATTTGTATATTGTAGGCATATTCTTCACGGATGGCTACTTCTGGCACGTACAGAGAAGGTTTACGCTCCGTTATATGAGGGACTATGGTTTTGGCAGACGTGACGAATCCTTGGAATCAACTGTCGCGCATGAGGTCAAGGAAATGATTGATATGGCTACCAACGGACCAAAGTATCCAGCTGAACATGTAAGAAACAATACTAAAATATCTTTAAGAATAATCGAACTCGGAGATTGGTTAGCGTAAGTCCTAAAAAACTCGAAGCGATTCGGATTTTATGTAACGTACAATTAATTTACTACTGATAATGAGTGATTTGTGATTGTAACAATTTTGTACATATCTGGGTACGATATCAGAGTTGATTTATAAAAACGGGATTTTCCCTATTTGACGATAAACGTGAAATGAATTGATTAACTGATGATATAATGATGTGCGTGCATAAATTGCACGCAGTTCAAAAAACATCGTAATCACAAATAAAATAACTATAATTTCCGGAAAAAGTACTTGGAACAAGGTTCCCTCCTTATAATCAAGCCTTTTGGGGGACCAAAAATAAAATAAAATTCAAAGTTTCTTTATTGAGGAATAAACAAGTACAATATGTCACTTACGCCCGTCCGCGTTGAATTAAAGAAAAAACTTAATTAGTAGTATGTGTTCTTTCAGACTATGTTCTACATCCATCTATCCATCGACTTTCACATTCGCATTTATATTAGTAAGATTATTTACTCTAATGATCAACCCTTTAAATCGCCCCGCCTCAGTTACAGGCTGAATGATTAAGAGTTTATGTGGCAATACGACCAAAATTATTTGGTGATATAATATTATATTTACTTATTACTAAATAATTTCTTTGTTTGTCAGGACTTGGTGAAAGGCGACCAGATATATCTGCCTCATTTCTTCGCGGTACCGTTCATGAATGGTTTAATACACGTGTTCACACGTGCTTGTGTGCCGAGGCAGGATTATCATATGTTGTGGACGACGGCCCGAGGTGCACTTAGATTCCAAAGGAGTTCCAATGACTTTGGCGCGGCCCTAAGTTTTACGCCATGGCTAAAGGATTTCTTACCAGGATACAGCGGTTACAAGGGTCTTAAAGAGGGAAATCAGTGCATTTTGGATTTATTTACGGTACCTTAGTATTTTTTTAATCAAATTGACCTTAATATCTTCAATAAATTTGTGTAATAAAATGATTGTTTATCTTTTAGAAAATAATAAAAGAGGCCTTAGAAACTCACGACAGTACATTTAACCGTCACTTTCTAGATGTGTACATTAGCAAAATGAAGGAGGAAATGATAGAGAAGAAGAGAACAACATACTCTGGTAACTAAGATTCTATGAATAGTCCGTAGATTATCTTAATTCTCACTAATATTATAAATGCGAATGTTTAGATGAATGGATGGATGTTTGTTTGAAGATATCTGCAGAACGGCTGAACGGATCCAGCTGAAATTTTACACAAACATAGAACACAGTCTGGAAGAACACATAGACTACTAATTAGGCATTGTTAATTCGATGAAGATGAAGTCGCGGACGTCAGCTACTATCTGCATAAGTTCTAGAAAGAGCAAAATTTCTCTTTCTGAACTCAAGTTCGAAATTTTATAAATTATTTGTTATTTCAGTTGATCAACTAGTGTTGGTATGCACGGATTACATGTTTCCAACGGCATCAGCTCTGCAATCAGTCCTCACTATACTTGTTGAACGTCTGCTACTGCAGCCTGAAGTACAAGACAAAATACACGAGGAGATAGATCGAGTTGTCGGCCGTGACAGGCTTCCTACGATAGATGACAGGAGCAAGTAAGATTTTGCAGTGATAATAACACGCCTTTGTAGCTATTACTGGCACTTCAAACAGAAATCAGCCAACAAATGATTAAAGTTTGGGATACAATCAAATATTGACTATATATTACTAGAGAAACAACTAATATTACTTATAGTAATTTCAAGCTAATTTCTAATTTAATTTCTCTTATAAATTACTTATCGAGACAAATACATTATTACGTCAATCATTTACGCATTTATTGATATCTTAATTGATAACAAAGATCATGCTTCTTTATGACTTTGACTTCCTTATACTTTGTATTATTATCAAGTGTCTCATTTGTTATTAAATTATTAAAACTTTCGTGAGACATTATACTAAACTGATATATAAACACGGCTAAACACTCACGTATATACGTCCGGTGGCGGCACCGACTAGTTTCGAGCCCATCGGAGGCCCTTCATCAGGAGTGAGCGACTGGCCGCGTCCGCGAAATACGTGAGTGTTTAGCCGTGTTTATATATCAGTTTTGTCTCATTTGTATTAAAAATGACAAGACACTATCATTTCGAATGCATACATAATTAGTAATAGGCGAAATATTTGCAAATATTTGTTATTTTTAGTAACAATAACAATCATTTGTTTATGAATTGTTTATTTTTGTCGGCAATACGTTTACATAGATGGATAGATGTTTGTTTGAAGGTATCTCTGGAACAGCTCAATGGATCTCGCTGAAATTTGGCATAGATGTAGAATATAGTATGAAAGAACACATAGGCTACTTATTAAGTTTTTTTTTTTATTTCCGTGCGGACCGAGTCGCGAGTGAGAGCTAGTTTTAAATATATTTGAGATCGTCGCATACTAATAACATGTAGGTTAGTGTAACCTTATCAGTTATTACAGTACAAATAACATTTTAATAGCCAAATTTAAATTACTTTCCAGTATGCCGTACACTGAGGCGTGTTTGAGAGAGATAATGAGAATCGAGACGCTGGTGCCTCTCGGCGTACCGCACCGCGCCATGGTCGACACCAAGCTGGACGGATATGACGTGCCTGAGGTATTTTGTTACTAACAGGGAGCCTAGCAGGAATATTTGTGACACGAACCTTCGTAACGTAATTGATGAAAAATGTCAAAATTTATATGAGATTTTAACAAAACAACGCTAACGCGTACTTTACAACGCGGTAAGGGCGCTGCACAATCTTACTAATACATACCGCGCGGACTTTTCCGACATCCATTACTTTATGAAAACTCTCTCACTTTCTTATAAGTATTCGTTTTGCATTACTGGTGGGCTGGTAATGTTTTTTGCGTATACAAGTCCATTCTATCTCGACATGCCTAAATAACTGAACCGTTCGAATCTTATTTTTTTTACCAAATATCACAGGGTTCTTATTGATTTCATTAAGTAGGTACCGTTAATAAACATAAATAATAGAGGGAATTCGTTATAAGAGAGTATTCGCAAAAGCAATCGAAAAACGACTACGTAGAATTATTTATATACAAATATTTGGAGCGACTCTAATTATTGGGTAAGGTTAAGTATGAAGAAATAAGCAATATTTCGTTTGCACAGGGCGCAATGGTCAGTCTCAACTTCGTGACACTGCACATGGACAAGGAAATATGGGGTGATCCTGAAAACTTCCGGCCCGAGAGGTTCATTGTCAACGGCCGCTTGCAGCTAAGTCAGGACAAGTCATTGCCTTTCGGTGCAGGTAAGGCCATAAATCAGACTGCAGACTGCAGACAGATTGCAGATGTTTATACGCAGCAGTCGCTTCGATATTACGGCGAATTCAGGTGGCCGCTCTCTAGTTTACCATCCTATGATATAATATAAAAAATACCGCGTTATATAATATAAATTGATTTTTATATTTATGATTATGATGATGATCGTGCTTGATTTACTTGTAAAGGTGGAGGATTATATAGATAACAACAGTATTTGATATTAGGAAACATCGTACAATATATTGTTTATTTAAATATTTTTTCGATTCCAGGTCGTCGACTCTGTGCAGGTGAGACGTACGCCCGGCAATCGTTGTTCCAGGTGTTCGCAGCTTTCATGCAGGCTTTCCACGTGTCTACGGCCGATGGCAAACCTTATAAACAGTTGGCTCCAAGAATACAAGGAATCATAACAACCATCCCTAATTATTGGGTACGCGTAACACCCAGGAAATAATTAAGGATATTCATAATACAAAGTGGAAGTCTTCATTTGAGTAATATATTATAAAGATTATATTATAAACGGTTATATAAAATAGTATTTAAACAGCCGAATATTGAAACGAATGATCGTGAGTTTCTGAGATATTTTTATCTCTATTTTTCCAAAAGATAATGACAGGGATGACGAAATGTTTTATATAGAGATTTTGGTTTCGAAAACGTTCAAACGGTGATTAATTTGTTCACTAGAAATAGGTAAGTTACTAAGTATATTTTAGGTTGTATTGTAGCTGTTTTTAAAGAGTTAAATTCTAATTTTATTTTATATCTTCCGCATTGTAATTAATAATACTATGATTCATTATATGTATACCTATAGATGTAGAGTTTATATATGTGTAACGTTTTATCATATATGAAGTTTAATCTTATAATCCTATAATTTAATCGTGTAAGACCATGTTCGAAATGTTATTTTTTTCTAGTGTACGTGACGCAAATGAATGACAAAGTAATGAAAAAAATTACCCAAATTTATTGATAAATTAAAAGTGAAATACTGCAATATTTGTTAAAATGTACATCACAATTTTATTTAAGAAAAACAAATTTAAACCCAAAACATTTTTATAAACACAATATTATGTTTAATTGTTGTTAAATTGTTAATTAATGTTTTAAAAATATCACTACTAAATATATTATAAATTAAATTATACTAAAAAGTAAGAAATAAAAATAAACAAAAGAAAAGAAGTGGTATTCGATTTACTTTTTTTATATAAATTGCGTAATTTAAACTGAGGAAATTTACTACAAAAACAGCCTCTTAAAACGGTCTTTAAACTTGGTTCTTTTTACTTTTGTGCTTTAAATTAGGCATATAGATATGTTGTGATTTAAAAAGATAAACATGTCCCTAAAACAAAGACAAAAAATGACATTTTAAAAAGGTTTCCAAATTATTAATATAACATTATTCTTAATTTATATTAATCTGTGTATTTTATTATGATTAAAATTTGTTTTTATTTCATAATATTATTTGGAACTTAGTAATAAGTAATTAAGTAAGTTTTATTACATTAAAATTGTAAAGATATAAAAGATTTATTTTATTTAGTAATGTCGAAATTATTATTTTGTATTTTAAAAATATGTAGGTAAATTATTGACATATTTTATTTTCTATTAAAGTAGTGTATTAGAGTAATCCCGAAGATTGTCGAAGTCGAAGGCGACCAAAGTTCCGATGGATATACGGCGTAAATAGAGACGCAAAAAAGGTGAGCATAGCAAATTAGAATTCCGTGGTCAGAGATAGACGGAGGTGGAAAAAGTTGCTGGACCAAACCAAGACCCACAAACGGCGGTAGAGCTAGGAGAAGAAGAAGAAAGTAGTCTATAAAAAATAAAGATATTTAATTTTCATAACTCAACAATATCGTAGATTTGAAATCCATTCGATTTATCATCAGAGTACCAATTTATTAACACCATATAAGAACTCTTAAAGGACCTTTATATTTTCTGAACTGCTAGGTTAGACAAAGTGCATTCGTTACGAAGCGTTTTAATGACGCACTTTAAAAATGTATGGAACTGACAAAATCTTTCGATAAGTCACGTGATCTTTAATTAGCCAATCGAAAGTAGCAAGACAGCAAGTCCTAGCTAGCGTCCCGGAGGCCTAATTTAGTCCTCTTTCCATTCCTACCCTTTTTCTCTAATAAGGAAAGGATGGGAAGTGGAAGTGGACATTCCGGATGAGAGGATGCATGGAAAGGGAAAAGGTTTTCTTTCTGTGCATCCTCTCCTCCGTCGATTAAAGGTAGGCAACGCATATGCAATTACGCATGTCTGTGGGCAACGGTCACTTCGCTATTTCAGCGATTTCAGGTGGCCGCTCGCTCGTCTGCCACCTTATGATACAAAAAAAGCTTAGCGAACGTACGTCCTACAATATCGAACAATGCGTAGACAAGTTGCACATTACAACAGGCGACATTCCATACATTTTTGAAATTCGTTATGGAATCACTTCGGAGCTGGAATATGACGTGTACGCTCGAGACAAACAACACATTTATGCATACACCATACACTACAGGAGCGAATGCATTTTTTTAAGCCCCCCTGTAGATGTATATTCGTCGAAACTTCATTTGATAATCTTCTTCATTATTTCCGCCTATTTCGAACGATAGTTAAACGTGTTTAATGTAGTCAATTATCCTCTTAAACATGGCAACATTGGATTAAGCCGGATATTATTAAGAGGGTTTTACACCAGCCTTAAGAATAAGAGATTTAATCTTTATCTTGTTCATAATTCTTGTTTAATTATTATTGTTCTGTAATTAATATAGAAACTCTGTAACAAAAGATATAACATGAAGCGATTAAGAAAAGGATTCACGCCTCATGTAACAAAGACAAAATTGTTACTGTATGCTTGCTTTTACAAAATCCGCAAAAAATAAAAAAAAATCAAATTGAAAAAAAAATTAGAAACATAGCTTACATATTTTAAGTGGATAAGAGAACATAAAGTATTGTCCTAAAAATGTACGCATGCAAAGTAATACTGAATGAAAGAAATCATACCTTGTAGTCAATCGTTTAAAAGGAATATAGCAGGCACGAAAGAATTGGTCATAGCAAAAAAAAATGTTTACTTAAAAATTTTTACTCTGTAAATTATGTCAAATTAGGGCTTCTGATATTTGTTTAGGTCGTGGGTTCGATCCTCGTCGTGTGTTATTTCAATGTTATATTATAACATCCGATTTTTTTACGACAAAAGAAAAAATCCTGAAGAAATCTACACATTATTAAAGTGAAAAATGTCAACCACGGGAGACGCATGATCGTATGCGTTAGCGACCGTTTTTATTGCAATTTGGTAAGATAGTTATATAATAATATCAATCCGTCCGTGTGGGATTTTATAAAACTCAGTAACCCATGCGTTCTTCCTGACTATTTCCTACATCTATGCCAAATTTTAACGCGATCTATGTAGCCGTTCCGGAGATACCTTCTCACATACATTCATACGTACATCCAAAGATTCGTATTTATAATATTAGTAGGAAGTAAAATAAGCAATTTATAAAAGAAACTAAGACTATATTTTTTATTCTGTCATATAAACAGTCGGTTCCATCACATCGAATGCAAACATTGTTTTGTCATTAAGGATTTTATGTCTTACTAAAAATATAACTAGTCTCCACGCCTTATAATTATGTAAACAACAAGCGCATTAGTTAATTAGTCTATGTAAATATTATATTTATCTATCTATATGTATAAAAGAGTAAACTGACTGACTCAACTATCAACACACAGCCGAAACTACTGGACATAAAGACTTGAAATCATGACTTGAAAGTGGCGAGTACTAAAAAAAGATTTTACGACATTCACGCCCCAAAGGTCTAAAGTAATATTGATCCAAAGTTGCTTGAATATTTACATAAATGTTTATCTGCAAAAATATTGGACTATGTCTTTCATCCTTTTTAGGGTTCCGTACCTCATAGGAAAAAAACGGAACCCTTATAGGATCACTTTGTTTTCCGTCCGTATGTCTGTCAAGACCCTTTTTTTCAAAAACGCGTAAAGGTATCAAGGTAGCTGTAAATTATTTTAAATTTGGAATGAATTTTTAAATTAAATTTGTAAATTGGGATCGACAATTTCTCTGTACATAAACAAAGTCTCGGGAAACAGCTAGTATAAAATAAAATAAGTATGATTCATTGCTCACACGTGTCACAACTTTGTTGCAAACCTTTGTTTGACGAGTGTCGCGAATACGAATATAGGATAAGTTTTAAACACAGATTATATAATACTGTACTAATTTTAACTAACCGTAGGCACAGAGCCAAAATAAATTGCAATATCTTTTGAACATTTTGGATTACAACAAACACATGTGTGTCTTATAAATTTCTATTCACCATTACACACCAACGTCACCACGAAAACATATTTCTAACCTCTTCAACAATACCTAATATATTTTTTAAGACAATGGAAACTTACCGTAAATGGGTTGAAAGTCCTTGCAGTTGTCATTGATCGACAATCGAGGAAATATGAATGTAAATATTTGTTATTTTGTTAAATAAAGAAACTTAGTAAGTTAGCAATTAAATATTAATTGTTATTCTATGAAAAACAAGATTACGAGTAATAATAAACATAATTTATATGTTAAACGATTGACAAATGGCGTTCGTCATTTTTAAATCTATATAAAAATAAACATTTTATCGGTTATAAGTCACTGTATTAGGTTGTTGCTCCGTATATCATTGTATTTGTGAAGGGGGCGACAGCTGTCCCCATGTATCTAATAATAGAATAATGGTGGCAATTGTGACACACGTAAGACGTCATAATCGACTACTAAAATGATTAAATCCCTTTGTTACAGCTGAGCCGAAGCTAGTCCATTTAGTGTGAGTTATCACTGACCGTGAGTATGCAGTCGTTTCGTTATGTGATTTGTTTTCAATTAGAATGATAGGAACAATATATTTTTGGTTATTACGACAGTAAAATACAATCACGTATTACACATTTAACATCTTCGCACGAATTGGCCCAGCTCGCCCGGTGTAATACCACGACCACACAGAAGACAGGCGTGATGTGGAAGCAATTCCTCGTTTAGTCTGATGAGCGTGTGTCTCGGAGGCCTAATTTCCCTTGCCACCCTTTTTCTTATTAGGAAAAGATGGGAAGTGGAAGTGGACTTTCCGGATGAGAGGATGCATGGAAAGCGAAAATATTTTTTCTTTCTATGCATCCTCTCCTCCGTCGATTAAAGGTAGGCAACGCATGTGCAATTACGTATGTCTATGGGCAACGGTCACTTCGCTATTTCAGTGATTTTAGGTGACCGCTCGCTCGTTTGATATAAAAAAAACAATGTTAGAACAATCATAAATAATAATTTGCAGATTTCTGCCATCATCCAGACTGAATGGAGTTTAATCATAACGTAGGATTTAAGTATTTAATCAAAAGAACAATTGTCGACATTTTGTCTACAATTCGAAGGTAGTACGCTTAATACCTAAACTAAACAGATCTGTAGATATTAAGCATACTAAAATAAAAGTTGACAATGTAATTATTTATTGAGAAAATATTTTGCACTAAAAATTACGCAACAAAATCGTTACATGTTACAAATTGATAACGGTTCCGGCACCGGCGTAAATTATTTAGTCACGTGCTATATTTCTTGATAACATATTTGCAAATTATCAATCACTACATCCAATACATTTTATATCTTGTAAAATATCACAGCAATAATGTATACGTGTAAAGCTTATTGCTAAGACTATGCAAATCTGTTATAGATAGAGAAAGGGGGATGTAATAAAAGCAA